ATTCCCAGAATTCCCATAATACCAAATAATTTTCCATTCCAATTTAAAAGAACGCAATTCCCAGTATCGGTGTGTTATGCAATGACAATAATAAGGCTCAAGGGCAGGCCTTTCGTGTTGTTGGAGTAGATCTCGGTGTCAGTTGTTTTTCACATGGTCAGTTATGTCGGTCTTTCCCGGGTTAGCAATCCTAGAATTTTTTATGTTCACGTTCCGGACGGGTCAAATTTCAACGCTGTCTACCCGGAAGCTTTGCGCTGAAGTATTTTCATTCTATATGTACTTAAGACTCATGTGAAAGCGATCTAAACAATATTACCAATACATTAACATAATAACATACAAGGAGTTACACGCTGATGGTCTCGGGGCACAGTGATAATAATAATATTCTGCGGTTCCTTATTGCGATATTTTTAACAGTATTATATTTCCCTACTAAAATACGAAAGTTAATCTGTCTGTCACATCAAAACCACGGAACCCTGAAGAAGGACATATGCTACTTTTTTACGAAAAACGACGATAACGTGGACGAAGTCGCGGGCAAAAGCTAGTTAGAAATAAAAATCTATTCCATTTTTCAATCTCGACCCTCCCGACTTCCAGATCATTCTAGTACCCGACCGATTTCATGTGACACGGAATAAAAACATAGAATAGATTTTCACTTCGGTAAGAAAAATAAGTAATTAGTAGCTTATAAATACGAGTGTAAGAAATTCTCTCAGTATACATCGCATCAATATTTATTTATTAATTTAACCCGTCATTAAAGTTCCACCTGTCCGGAACTGGACTCCATTAAATATTCAAGGGAAAAATCTACTTTTCAGTGCGAACAATGTATGAACAATCTAATTATAAATCAAGTAGGACATTTCCAGAGCGGTCTCAAATGTCAATGAGCGCGAGTATTTCAGAACAAAACAACACGTGTGTGCCTACGTTGTCTAGACGGTGCGTTGCGGAGGGAAGACTGGAAGTACCGGATTCGCTCGACTAAAAACTTATACAAATTTCGCTTAAGAGGGGAAAATTACGTACTTGTTTAATTAAGCCAAGTCGAAACGCTTAATTGAATCACTGATTTTTAGGGTTTCGTACCCAAAGGGTAAAAATGGAACCCTATAGCTGTCACTCTGTCGTCTGTTTTTCTGTCTGTGTATGACACGGGTTACTAGATCGTAATCGCAATGAGTTTTTTTTCCACCCCAACATGTGACACATCATTGTCTAGAGCTCTTCGAGTAGGATATAAATACATATATATATTAGACTTGCAACGAATAGTATATTCGGCAATATACCGAATATTCGGCGAAGCCCCTGACTGAATAACCGAATATTAGGCAAAAGTATTCGGTTGGATTTTTGCGCCATAAACTTGTACAGACGTGATTGTTTCGCGCTCCTTTGTTTTGTTCTAATCTGCCGTCCTCAAGCTAAAATGTGGCTAAATGACAAAACCAACTTTTGAGATATGGCCAAAAACGGCGCGTAAACTTTAAATTATTGCTATTATGTAACCATTCATCACATGACTGAATGAATTAAAAACTGTTAACTTGTTTAATACAGAAAATGATTAAATTACGTACCTGTTTTATGTACCAATGACTACTTAATAAATTATTATAAAAGAAACGAGAACCTTACCCTCCTAAATTTTGATTACCACAATAATTAAAATACATAGAATCCTCCATTTTTCCAATTCAGAAGATGATTAGGTACCTGTGTTATGTACCAATGACTACTTAAAACAGATATGAAAATATGAATACATACGTAATCAATCGATTTTAATTTTTCATTTTACCAATAATTTCTCTATGACAAAATATATTATTTAAGTATTAGGTATTCGGCCGAATATAATAAAAGCAGCCGAATAGGCCGAATACCGAATAGTAACCGAATATTCGTTGCAAGTCTAATATATATATATATATGTGTGTGTACATTTCCAATAGCAAAGAAATGGAAGCCCGTCAAAGTTATAATTTTTAGACAATTTTTATGAAGGTATCTATCTCAAAATCGAAATTAGTTAAGAATGAGAAATTTTAGTATATCCATCCATCCATCCATCCATCAGCCTTTCTCCGTCACTGCTGGACATAGGCCTCCCCCATAGAACGCCACAATGCGCGGTCCTGCGCTATCCGCATCCAGCGGCTACCAGCACATTTGACGATGTCGTCAGTCCACCTTGTTGGGGGCCGCCCCACGCTGCGTCGTCCGGTACGTAGTTGCCACTCGAGGACCTTTCTTACCCAACGGTTGTCAGATCTTCGAGCGATGTGGCCTGCCCATTGCCACTTCAACGTGCTAACTCTTCGGGCTATGTCGTACACACCGGTCCTTCTACAGATCTCCGTATTTCGGATCTTATCACGTAGGGAAACACCGAGCATAGCCCTCTCCATAGCACGCTGCGCGACTCTGAGTTTTGTTATGAGGCCGACATTCAGAGACCACGTCTCAGTCCCATAAGTCATCACTGGTAACACACTGGTCATAGACCCTTCTTTTCAGGCACTGGGGAATTTTGGCCGTGAGGATGTGCCTAAGCTTCCCGAACGCTGCCCATCCGAGTTGGATAGAGTTATAGTTTCAGAGAGTCTTTGCAGCGGCATTTTAAGCGTATAGCTTCGTCATGTAGGTAATTTCGAAAGCAACATGTCGCAAAGTGGATGCAAGCATGTTAAGTTTTTCATATTATGCATATCATTCATTCCCCGGCAGCGCTTCGGTATCACAACACGTTAAAATCAATTTATTGATCGTATAAAGAAGATACGATAGGTATAGAAAATATGGTGCAGTCGGATCAATTTTATGAATGAAGGTAGCAAGAAATCTTGTAGGCAGACAACTGAATATGAATGATTTATAATTAATAAAGTTATGCTCAATTTACAGATGTTTGCCTTCAGCGTATGCGCTCACATGTAAAACACAAATTAGAAATGACTCTATTGTTTACACCAGAGAGCTTCGATTTAATTGCTCGTCCGACTGGAAGCTGAGCAAAACGGTAAACACCTTTTGTTATATAGGATGTCGAGGGCACACCTACAGAAGCATTATTAATAAATTCATTGAAATAATATATTTTACTATAAAATTACTTATGTGAATTCAGTCTTGCGACCACGGACCCTGAACAGGGACTAAAACGTCAGGAACAGTGTTCACTAAATATCACCCTTTAAAGTAATTGTTATCAAAGCAACAAATGTGTGCGTGAAATATAAAGGAAATATAAATATATAAAAGGAGAATAAATATATGCGATTTAAAATAAAAGTATAACATTTTTCATGTTAAGGAAAACTTTAGGTTTGTAGGTAATTGACATTTCTTGTTTTAATAAAAGTATCGAAGAAAAGAATAAAAGTACCTTGAAAGTTTGCCGTTCGCGAGTATTTTTCATTTGTCATTTTCATTATTTTTTAAACAAATAGTAAACGTTAAATTCTCAGGTGGTTTGGCATTTGTAACAACGAGATTGCTTTAGGCTTTCTTTAGGGAATCAGCGGGATATTAAAGCGACGACGACGCGGCGTCGACGTCGGAAGGTGGTCGGTATTTGTTTATAGAATTATTTTTACGCGGCAACGAAAAAACAATCAAATATGAACCTGTTATGATGAGAGGTAATAAGAACGGTCGAGTTATGATACTAAGGTAAGGTCGTAATTTTGTTGGGGTGAAATTGAAAAAACCACAAGTTGCCGAGTAAGAAAATAACGAGCTGCGATTGCGATACTCAAAAGCGTGTACCTTTGTTGGATTGCAATATAGTTGTTTGTCGTACTCTGAATATTTGAAGAAGGCTGGAAACCGAATATTGCTGTTGTTAAAACTACAATTACTTGACTAAACGTACGTGTAGTTGATAAAACTGCATGTAATTGATGTAGTAAATGTTGCTTTAAATATATTTTTTTCGAAATAAATTTTATCATCATCATCAGCTGCCGGCCATCCTCTGCTAGACATAGGTAAACCTCATGTTGGGATTTCCACAGACAACGGTTCTGCGCTTTCCACATCCTGTGACTCCCCGACTCGCTTGATGTCGTCAATCCACCTGGAAAGGGGTCTACCGACATTGCGCTTCCCGGTGCTAGGTCACTATTGAAGCAAGCACCTTAGAGCCCCAACGTCAGTCGATCCACTGTATTATGTATCCCCGCCCATTGCCACTTAAACTTGGCGATCCGTTGAGCTATGACGGTAAACATAAAAAACGAGCGAGCCTTACAGTAGTCGCGTATGATGTAACATTTGAAATCCTCACCTTATATTAGTAAAAAAAGAAATAAAAGCTACTACAAAAGGAAGAAGCCATTTGAACATTATGTTCTGAAATCAAATCAAATAGCGCTCTTTCGCGACTGCTACACACTTCCGTCCCATTTCACGAAATCAATCCCACTAATTGCATGAAAGCGAGAGGAAAGATGTTACACATTAAAAAAAAATAACTTAATGATCACAAACAACTCTCTTGTAAACCAACAATTCACCAGATAGGTAATTTAAATACTTAAATATAAACCATACTTTCGTGTAATCATATAGAAGTACAATCGATCGAAAATTCCTTTCTATCGGCATAATTAGCTTAATTAACCTCGGCATTGACGAAGGCGTAACTTAACGATCATATTGTCAATAGTAAAAAATATTCCTGATTTCCTGTTATATACTTACTAAACATATGTGACCAGTTATTTTTGTGAACTGTTTATATTATTAACAATTCACCTTCTTTATTATGGACAAGCGACTACGTCAGCGTTTAGTTTTTTGAAAATCTCTCAGGAACCTACCAGGTCATAATGTATATGTTATAGCGTAGCGTTTTAACGTCGCGCTCTTTTCATGTGACACAAATCTAGATAAGCCCAACGCTCATTAACGTAACGTACCATTCGCCAAAGCGTAGTGAAGATCGATAGCAGAGTGTGAAAAGTTTGTTCGTTATGGAGATGTCGAGTGATTCAGATTTGGAAAAAATATTAGTTTTATATGCTTTATCACGGTCACAGAGAAAAAGAGAGAGTGCATGACTTGATTCATTTTTTTTATACAAACTATCCTTCGTATTATAAGCACGGATATTTTCTAACTAATTATTATATTTTATATCAAATTTTCGGACATTATGCAGTATTTTAACACGTATTCAATCGGAAGCTAAAATCAAATTAGTAAAAAAATACAACACCCAACGTTAAAGCGTCCTAACGCCGCGACAGAGCATTGCGTACTTGATAGCTCTGGCGCTCTGTTTGACGGTATTTTACCATGGTAGTACAACACATCTTAGCGTCATAGCGCGGCGTCAAGTTAGCACTATAACGCGCGCTAAGTAACGCGTTCTGTTTGGTGAAGCGTTTACCAGGCTTTTCACTTCGAACTACAATTATTTGTATGGACATCACAGAACGAATTTTAGATACGTAATATTTCACTAGATGGCGTTATTCAGATCTTTTTTACGTATTTTCAGGTATTCCTCCAACTTCATATATTTTTAAACAGTAACACAAAATTATACCTGTGGCTGTCAGTGACTGTAACAAAAATCAAGAAAGAAGAAATACAGCTTATCAGCATATATTATTTACAACAGATTTTATTTTGAAATAATAAACTAAAGAATTGGCTGTATGGGCACAGTACCCTTTGCCTACCCAGAATGGGTAAAGAATCTAAAAAAAAAAACAACTGTAACAAAAAAAAACTGTTCTGCTTACGCTTCGTGAATTTAATGTTTTCTTGTGATTTTTGGTGGTTTTTCCGCCTATTTTTCCGGACTCCGATTCTCCTGCTTTTACGTTTTGACCCTTGCTCTTCATATCGGTTATGGATTGGCTTCACTATTTGGATTTCGTTGTTCTCGAAAATGGCATCTCAGAGAAGATGTTGTGTGCCTAATTGCAACGTAACACGTACGTATTACCAATCAGTTACATATAATTGAACCTCTATAAACAATCCTTTCTTGATTTAACTATTTGACCAAATGTTTCAGGCGCAGATAAAATACCAATGCATTCGTTTCCTAACCCTGACATTCACCCCGATCGATTCCGAACTTGGCTTCCGCTCTCGGAGGAGAGATATTACCTATGGACAATAATTATCTTTTCAAGCAAGGAATAGTTTGTCAAAAACATTTTGAGACCAAGTTTCTTACTTGGACTAGAACACTTTTTCCACATGCTGTCCCAACTTTACATTTGCCAGGTAAATTGCTGATTTCAAAGTCTTTTAAAACATCGAGTAAAGAGTGTATGTAATGGTCTATTAATAAAAATCATTGAGTTGAATGTGATTTTTATATAAATTGCTAAATATTTTTTTTAGTATCAGGATTTGGTGCACGAAGGAGTGTTTTAACGGATATCACCAACAGAATGAATATTGACCAAGAAATTGAACATTCTCAGCTTTCAATGCCTTCTACATCCACTAGTAAATATTTATTTACAAATCATTTTTTATATCACTGACATTCTGGTAGAGTGGAATGTGCACTGGTTGTCACTACCTACTGTAAAGTTCTGGGTTCGAATCATGGTAGGGGCAAAATTCTTTTTGAATGTTTGAATGGAAGCATCAAATTTCAGATATACAAATAATCAGTAAAACCATTCCCTTATTCTCTTTTGTTTTAATATATTTTTTTTTATAGGTGGTGTTTTGACTGAAAAGTTAGAATTACAACAAAACGCTGTAAAGAAATCGAAGATACTAAGTAAAAATAAGCTTAATTTTTATTTTTATATAAGTATTTTTGTCTATTATAATTATTTCATAACTTTATTAACTTAACTTTAAAAAAAATATCAGAAATATGTTATCTATATTTTAGAGAGCACCTATCCTAATCATCTTTATTCTTTTGTTAGCTTTTTTCTTAAACTTACCTCTATGGGCTTTAGTCATGTTTTAATTACTAAGTAGACATTACATAATGAAATGAACCTTCCACTTAGTTTTCTTATACTAATAATAATTAGTTAAAAATAAATTATGACTTTTCACCTCACAGTGAACCTAATTTTATTGAAATGCTTTTTTTCAGCATCTGCGATGGATCAAAGTGTAACTAACTTAAAAAAAGTGGTGAAGAAGCTAACTGAAAAGAATCTCAAATACACAACACGGCTAAAGAAAGCAATGAAACTTTTATGATAGATCCGACTTGTAGATTTTTTATATATAACTGGTGTGGTGAGGTAAATAAATTATTAAACGGCACCATAAAGCTGCGTAATTGTACAAAATTTAAAAATGATATTAAAAGAATGTCATGCAAATATTTAATAATATAAATAAAAATAATTGATTTATAAAACTTCTTTATTTATTCTAACAGACTGTGTTAAAGCTACATTTTTAGACAATTATCAAAAAAAAACTGTGTAAACGAATAGCAGGTAAATTATCTAATAATGTAGCTTTAACACAGTATGTTTTTTTCCTTTTTTCATATTAATAATCGCATCTAAAGCTGCCGGTACCGGTTCAGTAGTACATGACTTGTGATTATGTCATGAATCGCTAGATGGCGCTGTATGCTCAGGTTAACTGATATCTCTATTACTAGTATATAATGTACTCTATGGCCTTTACCTCGCACTGCTAGCGGCGCGGCGGCTGGCTAGCGTCCTCCCCCTCACGTTTGCCCCGCCCGCGCCCATCCACCTTGGACAACATAAAGGCGCGCGGGTATTTGATCATTATTTTGATGCGGAGTTATTTTAAAATTGTGATTTCTCTTAAGATATTTATTAAAATCGACTGAAGTCGAGAACAATTTTGATCAAAATTAAATACCTACTTGTGATGATTAATGAGATTTTTTCAATTTGAATCAGTAGTTCCTACGATTAGCGCGTTCAACTAAAAAATCAAACTCTTCATCGTCAGCCTATTGATATCCCACTGCTGGGGCACAGGCCATCCCTATCGATGGAATAGGGAGCTTGGACCATGACCCACCACGCGGGCCCAGTGCGGAGTGCTAACGACTGCAGATGCAACCGGGACCAACGGCTTAACGTGCCTTCCGAATCACGGAGGAACTCGAGATGGAAGATTTTTTGGTCACCCATCCAATAACCGACCACTGCGAAAGTTGCTCAACTTCAACGATAGCAGCCGAACGCGCTAACCACCCGCGATATCGGTCTCCTCAAAACAAACTCTTCAGTTTTATAATATTAGTATAGATGATGATTTTTTTTTTCTTTCTTTATCAGGTGCATTAATAAAAAGTATTGGACTTTTTCTTCACACAATCAAAGCATTACAGATATATCAATTAATATAAGCGTTTGTTAGATAGCGTAATTCCGGCAGCAATTCATCTATAAATAACTCTTTAAAGTGAAGTCCCTGTTCAGATGACCAACTGGAAACCATCAAATACTAAACACTCACTACAATCATGCCTGTTCAGCTGCTAATAATGTACCAATCACTTAATAGTTTAATTGACACTCGCACTAATTACAAATCAAAAAGGGCAAACATGGCATAATTCATGACCATCGTGACCTATCATTAATTACTTATTATGCAGAGAAGCTTTTTTTTAATAAAAGATTAGAATTCAAATTATTTATAGTAATAACGCAATCTCGTTCAATGTATCTGTTTCCTTTTGTTTTTAGTGTTTCGTACCTCAAAAGTAGGAAAAACGGAACCCCTATAGGTACACTTTGTTGTCTGTCTGTCGAGATCGTCTATCTCGGGAATGTGTCCGCCTGTCTGTCGAGATCCTCTATCTCGGGAATGTGTCCGCCTGTCTGTCGAGATCCTCTATCTCGGGAACGTGTGGAGGTATCGAGTTGAAATTCGAGGGTGGAATAGAACTTTGTCGGTTCTAGTCTTAAAATTAGGGGGAATTGCTATTATAGACATTGATTTCAATTTTCAAATATTGTACTGTTTCAATATTATTAAAAATACTTACATTTTTGAAAATGACTTTTTATAAATAACATATTTTTTTACATATTTGTTTCTTAGGTTTTCACGCACATCACTCATTAAATAAAACTAGTTTTTACGGGTTAATGCACGAAACTTTATTTATTTATTGACGTTTCGTAGCCTTTACAGGCTACGTCGTCAGAATAAAAAAAAAATAAAATATATATAATATAAATAATCTCCATATTATGGAGAGAAATAATAGCACCTTTATCCAAATGTGGTAAATATGCAGTCCAAATTGATAATGTGATCAGATATGGGATAAAGCGCAGGATAAAAGATGAGGGACACTCAATTCCCGTTATAGACGAACTATTTGCATACTATTTAAATTTCCGTTTTTTATTAAACTTCTTACTATTTAAGTTTACACGGAACCATCAGTGCTCGAGTTCAAGTCGCACTTAAACCGTTTATTATTAAGAACTTCTGTTTTCACAGATGTCGCGAGTGTACGAGGATTTCGACGTAGAATACGCCACGAAGTGTAGTGACGTCACACTATGCTCCAACACGAAAGGCTTCTTCAAGACTCTCGCCGAGGATATGGTATCTCTGGCCGAGAACAACGACTGGCTCCAGGAGTTCCAGAAGATAGAAGACAGCAAGAAAATAGAAGCTGTTAAGAACAACAAAGAGGTAAACGTCGAAATTGGTGGATCTTTCTGATTATTTGAACGGCGGTGTAAGGATTAATACGATGCTGCCTTGACGAGTCTTTGACTATTAACCCCATAAAAGACATAGGCCTCGAAGGGTTCAATGAAAGTTAAGGCTTTGAATACTCGGCAATGAAAACTTCCCATTGATCGCAATAATGTACTTTCAAATTAACTTATTTGAGAGGGATATATATAATAAAGGTCCAGTAATAATCTCCATATTATAGAGAGAAATAATAGCACCTTTATCCAAATGTGGTAAATATGCAGTCCAAATTGATAATGTGATCAATGTGTGTAGTTGCGTATTGATTTCTAGTATCTAATTTTCTATAAAATCTATTACCGCAATGTAATATTGAGGTAACTTAGTAGGTACGGTATACCTAATAAACTCAGTCCTCTCAAAATTACTTTGGTCGCATCTTTGTTGCATATGCTTTCTAGTACACACCTGTTTCATAAATCGGAGTAGAGAAAACATTTTTACCTTTTCCGTGGTTGCCGCATGCTTCCACAGAAATTCGTCATATTGTATGCAAATAAAAGAAACAGCGGACTGTTTCTAGAGTCTCTATTTGCCTACGAATTTCACAACCCCGTCCGTAAATCAAATATGACCAGTCATCGATCGGCTGTATGCTTCAGCGGAATTGACAAACTTTATTTATTTTATTTTCTATTTCGAACCAAAACAGAGCATGTTGTTTTTTGCAATACCGCTAGCCTCTCTAGTTTTATGCCCATCAACCGTAGCGAGGTAATCTGTTGGTATTTGGATGTAGTAAAATAAAGAGCGCATTTTTCAATTCCAGTTTCCAGTTTTGTGCATACAACTTGCTTTTAAAGGTACTTAATTAAATATTTATTTTAAAACGACTTGTTCATGTCCAAAGCCATATTGTTGAGGAAAAAAAGCCATGACTTAGCTGCGAATGCTCGTAGTCATCATACTAACATTTGCCCCACTGCAATTCGATCTCAGGATAAGAGTGGGCGACAGGTCGTCAAAGTCATTAAAAAAGATTATTATAATAATGTACTTATTCGTATTTTACTATTATTTAATATTTTATTTTTCTCACTGGTGGAAAATGATGTTACTCATTTTAAATTTTACCACAAAACCACGAGTATCATGTTGGAGCAATTAGTAAATCATACCCGTCGAGATCACTTATTTAGCGAAATAATTTAGCTCGGTATCCAATTAAAATATTCCGGCAGCCCTAAAGGCATGTGTACACACAAAATGTGCAACAGCGATATGTGATTTTATTTGGCCATTTGACTAGTATTTTGATTAGTAGTCGGTCTGGAGTCTCCCCCCATAGGTGCATTATTATCGGTCGATAATATCGGATGCACTATCTGTATTTAGTACATTATGTATTACATAAGACGACTATGAAGTTAACACTGCTGCGATAATAACGACGCAATAGAAGTAAGACGAAATATCGCAATAACGCATTCGATATAATCGACCGATAAAAACGCGCCTATGGGATCCCAGACTAAAGCAACTTTCGCTATAATAATAATAATAATTGATTTGCCAAAATATGGTTACAATAGTTGTCACATATTTTTTTAGTTACCAGCGTATTTTGTTGAATGTCAACGTGCAAATATTTCAGGAAATTTACATCAATAAGGTCTACTACGTCTAAATAAATAAAATTAATTTAAAGGAAATAATAATATTCAATGTCACAAAAAATACAACTACCAATCTATTCATTATTAAAATAGTCAAGAAAAATTGCAATAATATTGAATTAAAATGTCAGAAAATTACATATATTTATCATCTACATATTTTAAACTATGATATTAAATACACAGGAATGTCAAACATACATTAAATTAGGCTATTTTATCATTTAAAAATCGTTAACTGAATAGCACATTTTGTTAATTAAAAATGTAAATAATTCAGTCCTAAATTTGGTTAAAGTCATTTTTTTTATATTTGAAGATAACTTATTAAATATACGAATGGACTTACAATATGCATTTTTAGAATACCATTAGAGTTTGGATTGGAACACATAAATCGTCCCCTTTTCTACCTCTATATTCAATATCTTTTTTTTCTGATATAAGTGAAAATACTTTTTTACAAACACTACCATTTCAAAAATATATAAACATGGAACTGGCAGTATTCCAAGCAATTTGAATAAGTAAGCCCTTATTCACGAGTCCAAATAACCTGCACCACAAAGTGACCGTATACATTTTTTTTGAATTTTAAAGATTTTAATTGCATCTACTGAATTTCCCCACAGTATTATACTATAACGCAACACAGATGAAACATAGCCATGGTAAGCTATGAGTGCCGATTGTTGCGATGCTATCTCTCTTATTATATTCAGAGCATATATAAATCTATCAAGCTTAACCGTTACAGAGTCAATATGAGCTTTCCAGTTACAGAATTTTTCTAAGGTGATTCCTAAAAAATTTGTGTTATCTACTTCTTCTATAGGTTGGTTATTCACATTTACATTAATTTTATCATTTTTGCTATTAATTGTTTTAAAATGTATAAATTTTGTTTTATTTACATTTATTATAAGATTATTATTTTTCAACCACTGTGCTATTTTCTTTAATTCTGTATTTGCTTTATGTTCTATTATGCCGTCTTTATCACTTATAATGAGGGTAATATCATCGGCGAATAAAATACATTTTTGGTCGGTAATGTTTGGCAAGTCGTTAATATAAAGCAGAAAGAGTAGAGGTCCCAGAACACTCCCTTGTGGTACACCACATGGATTTTGTCTATATTTGGATGTAACAGATATCCTGTCTTTACCTTGTATGTTAGATATTTCTACACACTATACACGACTTTCAAGGTAGTTTTCAACCAGTCTAAAGCATCAGCTCTTATACTATATCTTTCTAATTTATTCAAGAGGAGCCTATGTGATACGAAGTCGAATGCTTTGCTTATGTCAAGATATATTGCAAGAGTACTCATTCTAGATTCAAGGCTGTGTGTAATATCTTTAACAAGGTTGAAGCATGCAAGAGTTGTACTACTGTTTTTTCGAAATCCATATTGTTCATCCTTAAGAATCTTATTAAATATACTAAATGAATAGATTTTATCATACATTACTTTTTCAAAAAATTTAGATAGTACTGGAATCAGTGTTTTAGGTCTATAGTTACACATTTCATTGACAGAACCTTTTTTATGTAGTGGTTTAATCAACGATTGTTTAAGGCACCTAGGAAAATGACCCTGAACAAAGGACAAATTAATTATATGAGTAAGTGGCTTAACAATAAATTTTGCGCTTTTTTTTATTATATTCGTATTTATCTCAACGTAACCAGTAAAATAGGTATTATTTAAATTCATAATTATCTTATAAATATCATTTTCAATAATGGGTGTCAGATATAAGCTATTCGGTTGATAAGGTATATCACGAACAGCATTATATAAATCAGTATTTTGGTCAAAATTATTTTTGTTAGTTTCATTTATAAAATATTCATTAAAATTTTCACTTATTTTTATTGGGTCATTGATATATAAATTGTCACTTAATTTAATATCATCAATACCATTCCTAATGTCCTTCCTATTAATATTATATTTATTACATCCCAAGCTGATTTACAAGTATTTTTAGCTTGAGAAATGTATTTAGTATTAGTATTTCGTTGTGTCTGATATATATACACTTTTTCAGTATTTTCGTATAGTTTATATAATTACTTTTTTTTTATTTGTTGAGTTAAGTCTGTATTGAAGGTAAAGACGTCTTTTGTTAATACAACATCTCTTTATGCCTTAAGTCAACCAAGTGTTTTTAATAGGTTTGTTAACTTTTTTATCCTAATTAATGCAAAACATAGATAATAAAATAATTTAAACAACTCATAAAATTCACTAAATGCTTTCTCAGTGTCGTCCTCTTGTAAGACTTCATTGAAGGACAACGCTGAAACGCAATCGATAAAGAAGGATGGCCAAATTGTACCTGACGAGGAAACGATGACGTCCCAATATGCCATATATATAAAAAAAAATCCTTAATTTGAAAGGTTTTAGAAAAAATAAGCAAAATATCCATATTCTCCCACACTAAAAAGATATACCTTTTTTGTGTTTTGGTTGTTTATTTGAAATTATTTGGAATAACATGTTCAGAACGCACCCATTGACGATTAATTTCGCACATGAAATGATTTAATATTCATAGACTATGTATAAATTATTTCTTTTTCTAAATACTTGTTAACCTTAATTCAATTAAGAGTTAGGCATCTGATCAACTAGTGTTATTAGATATTTAAAGAACTTTTATCATAAAAGTATTAGTTACTTTTATGATAAAAGTAAGTACAAATTGAGTATGAGCTTTTTGTTTAATTGCTCAGTTTATGCATATAACGGAACGTTATATGTCAACGATCGGCAACATCGATTGACTGACACACAGTGACAGTGATCATTCTGTGCTAACGCTTTCGCTAAGATTGTTGTTGTGAATTATTGTGATTGTACTATTTTGGATTACCTTCTGTCCTTTTGACCTTGGCATTGATTTACGGACTGATAACTAAATAATATTTTTGTCAAGACTTATCTTTCATTTATCCCCATACCCACCATTATTACCTTATGATGGGTACCATTATTACTTCGGCTCGATTAGTCAGTGATTGAAAGATAGCAGGTATCTAGTTTTGTCTAACTAAAAACCACTTTTTAGTTTAGTCCTATTTTTTTTCTATGAGGCATCGGATAAAATAGCTATGTGATCGCCAATTACCCTCTTCGCTTTTCGCTACTACATTTTGGCCGTTTTGTTTTGGCAGTTTGGCCATTTCGCCGCAGTCGGGTAAAAGGTACTTGTTGATTCTAACCTCAAAAGTATTAGTGGCGATATTTTAAAAAATCGTGGCTATTTATATAAGATTTTCAAATGGGATAGTATTTAC